GGTTTTTTTTTTTTTTTTTTTTTTTTCCATTCATATATTTAAAATAAAGGTGAATAAATGAAGCATAAATCTCACCTTATCAAAACCAAACAAAAATAAAAGAGAGAGAGAGAGAGATTGGGAATATCCCTTTAAAAAGTTTTAAAAATGAAGGAGATATGAAAAGACAAGCCTACCCTTTGATAAAGGTGGAAATTGAGGCCAAGTTTTGGCAAGTATGGTAAATGGGGGAGGCTAAAACGGGGAATTTTAGTGCTTATATTGTCCCATTTGCCTTTAGATTTAGGTTTGGAATAAAGAAAGATGAGAAAAGGAAAGAAGAAGAAGAGACCAAAATGATTTCACATCAAAAGTAAAAAGCTCAATGAGAGTTGTGTTAAAAAGGGTTTAGGTTATAGAGTAAATCGAGTATTTTCGCTCGAGAAAATTTCTAGTGCTACACAAAATTAGGGTTCGAGAAGATTTCTAGTATCATAGTAGTATAAGAATTTTTCTCGCACTTAAAGAAAATTTTCAATATTAGAGTACTACGAGGATTTCGACGCGTCTAGATCTACTTCTCGTCTCTCTCGGTTTAATATTTGGCATGCCCTTCTTCGCTCTCTCTCTCTCTCCTTGAAGAACTTTTTCTTTCTTTTTAGCTTTTTTAGTATTTTTATAGCCTTTTTCCCATTTGAGTCCCTTTTAATTCTCATTCTCTCGTCTCCCACTTCATCAATCTGCACCTTCAAATCTCTCTTTATCTCTCTCTCCCTCCATTGAAGAAGCCATAGCTGTTAATATCTCTTCAAAGCTCTTATTCTTTGAGGGTTTTTGAAGAACAAGAAGAGAAAAGAGAGATAGTGACCAATTTAGAGAATAACCCATCATAGAGAATCAAAAGGCATACCCATGTTTTCATGTTTTGTTCTTGCTTGTGGCTAATTCAGCTCGATTCCAAACCCCAAACCCCAAACAAACAAAAAAAAATCTCATTTTTTTGGGTATTTTTTTTGTTGTTTTCATCCATATTGGAGTTTTCCCCAAACCCATAATAATAATAAAAAAAAAAAAGGCTTCTAATATGTTTTCTCCAACAATTATGTCCAATTCAACTTCTTTGTCTGATCAAGCCACCATCTTTTCCAATATTCACCACCCTCCACAAAAGCTCAAGAAGAAACGAAGCCTCCCCGGTAACCCAGGTACGATTCCGTAACGTTCTCGTTTCTCGTTTCTCGTTTCTCGTTTATAACCGAAAATGGTACAAAACCCATATCGAATTCATCTATTGATTTCTAAACAGACCCAGATGCAGAAGTGATAGCACTTTCACCAACAACACTTCTTGCAACAAATAGATTTGTGTGTGAAATTTGCAATAAGGGTTTCCAAAGGGATCAAAACTTGCAGCTACACAGAAGAGGCCACAAACTTCCATGGAAATTGAAGCAAAGAAGCAGCAAAGAAGTGAAGAAGAAGGCGTATGTGTGCCCAGAGGAAGCTTGTGTTCATCATAATCCTTCAAGAGCATTAGGAGATCTCACAGGAATCAAAAAACATTACTCCAGAAAACATGGAGAAAAGAAATGGAAATGCCTTAAATGCTCCAAACTCTACGCTGTTCAATCTGATTGGAAAGCTCACTCCAAAACTTGTGGAACTAGAGAGTATAGATGTGACTGTGGAACCCTCTTCTCCAGGTCAAATTTCATGTCTTTTAATCAATTTTGATTGGTCTTTTGTTTTGGATGGGAAGCCTTTAGTGTTCTTAATTTTGGAAAAATTCTATCTTACACTATTATGGTAACCCTCTATGCATTCAATGTTTACACAAAAAATACTTCTTTTTGAATTCCCATCCATTTTTTGGGGCAAAAACTACAACAAAACGATTTTTTTTCCATTATATTTAGTGGGTATGGTGTGGATTATGGGAAATTTATGAAAACTTGAGTGATTTGTTTGTAACTTGCGAGGTTGTTTTGAAAGGGAGGAGAAAAAGTGTGAGATTTTACATCAGTTGAAGAGGAAAACGAAACATTTTTTATAAAGATGTGAAAACCTCTCCTTAACATACACGTTTTAAAACAGTGAGACTGATAGTGATGCGTAATGAGTTGTTACAAATGATGGGTTTTGGCTGTTACAAATGGTATTAGAGCCAGACATCGGGGGATGTGCCAACAAAAAGGCTGAGCCTCAAAGGGGATAGATTGTGAGATCCTATATCAATTGGAGAGAAGAATAAAACATTGTTTATAAGATTGTGAAAAGCTCTCACTAATAGACACGTTTTAAAAAGGTCTGAGTGGATTATACTCAATTTTGAGTGAATGGATAGGGAAGAATTAGGGTTGATGTTTAAGGATACTTAGTATGGATCCGTGACAAGTTTGAATCATTATTACTTAGTTGCAGAGCTCTGAAATTCTGAACCATTCGTCATTATGAAGAACTGCATAAATCTGCAACAAAATCTGATATTTGATCACCTCATGTTTCTCTCTCTCTTACTTTCTCATAGAAGAACAAGGAGAGAGAAATGAAGCAAAGATTTAGAGTGTTCTTTGTTTGCATGCATGCATGTGTTCAAATTCCTCATATTTTCATCTTCTTCCAACTCTCCATGCAAATTCCAACACTTTTGATTTCTCTAATTTTTTGTTTTTTTTTGATGAATCTCTAATCATTGCTTGGAAAAACTATTAATTTGTGTAGGAAAGATAGGTTCGTAACCCATAGAGCTTTTTGTGATGCATTGGCTGAAGAGAGTGCACGGCTCTCGGCTAACCAATTGGCCATAGCTTCGGCCGCCTCGGGTGCCATGGGTGTTGACGTAAACCTGTCTTCGACCACTGTTGCTCAATCTCTCTTCCCTTTTGGCAACCATTATCAGTTCTCGAATTCGCTGATACCGTCGTCTCCATCGTCACTGTCGTTGTCGTCGTCGCAAACCCTTGTGTCCCTAAACCCTTGGAACCATCCCCTAAACCCTAATCATACCCTTCAAATGATCAAGCCTGAAGACTCAAATTCTCACCATTTTCACCAAATTCCAAATTTGCCCCTCTCCGATGACTCCTCCAATAATAACAATTACCACCCTTTTGGTCTAATTCAAGATCACCACCACAAGGCGAGCTCATCCTCCTCCTCCTCCTCTTCCATGATAACCTCACCCTTTAGGAACCTCCACGTGTCGGTGCAACCGGCCTCAAATGCTGCCACGTCAGCTCACCTATCAGCCACAGCCCTACTACAAAAGGCCGCAACAGTTGGCGTTGGCGTTGGCGCTGCAAAATCAGGTCAGCATCAGCCCGAGTCAGCGGGTCATATAACTCACTTCAACATCCCCGAGTTCCGCCCATCAAATCATATTAGCTCGCTGAGTCAACTCGGTCCAGACTACGCCACGTGGCAGAAGAGTGACCGGTTGACCAGGGACTTTCTCGGTCTTACCGGACATGGGAACGGCACCGGAAGTGGTTCCGGCAGTGGTGGATCTGTGCATTTTAGCATGATCGTTAAAGATATGCTAATGTACGCAGATGGTAAGCCTCACAATAATAATAATAATAGTAGTAATGGTTTTGGATATGGGGAGGCAGCTGCCAACGGAACTTGGGAAGACTGTTGAGTGAAACGGTGACGTTTCACAGGAGAAAAAAAATTAAATGTTTTTATTTCCAATTTATCTCTTTTTTTTTAATTTTGGAGGTTATTAAATTTCAATGAATGCTTTTTCTTTAATCTAGACTCTTACTTTGATCATCAAGTCTTTTTCTTTTTATTTATACGTTAATTAAATTATGCTTGTGTGGTGCTTGCAGTGTAATTTGAAATTTGAGATTTAAATAATTATTCATATGTCATATCATCTCTATATTTCTTTTCTTTATTATTATTTCTTTTTGTAAATAATCTTTCCTAATAAAAATCATTAACAGGTGTTAATCTTCAAAATTAAATAATTTTAAGTCAATGGACTTATATTAATAAAACAATATACTTATTTTCAAATTATAATTTATTTTAAATAATTATAAAAAAATTAATAGACTATTTATAGTTAAAAATATTGAAAATGGGTTATTTAATATTAGGAAAAACAATTTTGTATGATTCAGCATTGACAAAGGTCGGTATGGAGAGCTTATGATGGTAATTCAACTTAGACACCAGTATTATGGAATATATAAGTTTTTTTTTTTTTTTAAATTTCTTTTGAATTAAATAATTTAGTTTTGTATTTTAAGGAAGGGAAAAGGGAAACAAAATTATTAAAATTAGAACCGAAGCCCTTTTGTTCTTCCCATGATAATGGGATGATGGACCTGCATGAACACGGAAAATAATAGTGACATGCTGATGAAATTACCATTGTGCCCTTCTAAAGACCTCTGCCTTACTTTCCAAAATTTTTCATCTCAATACCATTTGTTCTAAAGAAGTAATATGAAAAGGACAAAAGAAAAGACGTTAAATTCATCTCGAACGCTTCTTCAACGGTTAAATTTGAATCATGTTTTCAAAAAGAAAGCAAACAAATTTTTCGACCCATTAAGATGATCAAATTATATAAGAAAACTATTACAATTTAATCAAACTTTGAGTAATATCCAAGATTAAAATAGAATCAAACATAATCTTGGTCAAATTCATATAGAATCGGATTGGCCGAATTCCCACATGATTATTGGGAAAAACTCGGAGCCTAAAAGAAAAGTAATGGGAATAGGAAAGGAGGAGAAGTAATATTGGGATGTGGACAAAGGGAGATGTCGGTGGTGGGAGCCAATGCGTGTACTCTTCGAGAGCGACCAGTGTGGTTAATGGTTATGGCCCCCACTGCTCTACAGAGGACCCCAAACCCACCATTAGTGCGACAGCGATGCCACTCTCTTCCTCCTTCCAGCCTCTTTTTTCATAATGTATTGTAATGATCAAGATTGGAGGCTTGTGGTGACCAAGTCAAAAATGACAAATTTAAAGTGGTTCATTTAAAGTTACCTAGTTTTATACTTGAGATGACTAGGAGTCTGTTTTGGAACAGGGCTTTGAAAATTATTCCTCACAAACTCAAAATATGGCATATTGGACTTCAGCCATGTAGAACCTATCTTCGGATGGTTAAAACTCACATTTGTCCTATCATTCATCATTCATGTTAGAGAATTGTTGAGAGAGAGTCTCACATTCACTAATCACAGAAATGATCATGAAATTATAAATAAGGAATACATCTTCATTGGTACGAAGTCTTTTAGGAAAACCAAAAGTATAACCACGAGAATTTATGCTTATAGTGGACAACCTTATTACCATTACAATCATAGGCAAGAACGAGCAAAACATTCTTTTTCCACATCATGGGTCGAGTTGAAAAAATCAAATCCCAAGATGTTTTTTTTTTCCCTTCTTCACAACTTTTCTAGAGGTACTGAGAAATTACTGGAACTATTTGAATAGAGAAGCCTTTTGTGAAGTCAGATGGTGGAAGGAGCAGTAAAATTTAGTTGCAAGTGCGAGTGTTTTTTTTCTTTTTTTCCTCTCTTAAAAAATAAAGGCAACCTAAGTTCATGGTGTTATGTGGATTTGTGCCTCAGTGAGCGAGTGTTTGTGGTGGTGGTCCGGGATTTGGGTGCTGCTGCAAACTAAAACCTAAAGGAAGAAAAGGAAAATAAAGAAAATAAAGAAGAAAAATGTCAACGGGGATGAAAATGATACCAACAAAGAGCTCTGGAAGATTGAATTGCAATTCTGTGGTGAGTCTTTCTTTTGTTACTGTTGTTGCTAAGAGGGGCTTTATCAATTTCTGTGCATATTCCCCACAACACAACCTTTAGTAGCCAGCTTAAACTGCAATAACATCCCAATTATTGACTAAAACCTTGTCCTTCTCTGCTTTTCTAGTCTACTGTAATCAGATAATCAATCAATCATTGATGCAACATATTCTTCAGCATGCTTGAAAAGAAATCAGATACTTTGCTGTCAAACAAAAAAGGGGAAGATTTTTCATATGGATACATTCTCATGTTCTATGACTAGACTTTCCTATTCCGATCAAATATTTTGAGAATATAGAAGTGTAATTATAGGATAGAAATGTGAACATTCAACCAACTAATGTATATATTTTACATCATGTTGAAGCAGAAGAAAAGATAGCACAGGAATTTACCAGAGGTTCAATCAGCTTAGTATGTGTATATATTTAATATTCTCCCAAGTTGATGAGAGTAAAAAGCCATGGTGATAATGCAAAGTGGTGCATCTACCTTTATGTGATTCCTGCAGCCACGTAAAAATGCCAGTCAGCTTACTTTGGATAAAAGGGGTTTGGAATATCTTTTTTTATAAAAAAAAATAAAAAAAACCACACACGCAGTTTAAATAATGGCAAAGCTGATCAACTTAACCAAAGAAAAGGTTAGGATATTCAAAAAGAAAGAAAGAAAGAAAGAGAGAGAGAGAGAGAGAGAGCAGGGAGAGACAAAAACACAGAGAGAGAGAGAGAGAGAGAGAGAGAGAGAGAGCCTGGGGATTAATGAAAGGAGGGTTGGGCATTATGGTATATCCTAGCTTTTAGAAAGTATGTGCATGAGTAACAGGATTAAGGTACAATATGCCATTTGCCTGGTAAAAAAGACTGCATCTTTTTTTCTTTTTTTTTTTATCTCCCTTTGAGCTGCACAAACAGACAAAAATCAAAAGGCTTCTATTCCCTCTCCCCTTGCATCTTCTTCTATTAAAATTACCTGCCCATGTCATCATCCATCAGGGAATCTCATCTCAGCTACCTTTTCTTTTCCCTCTTTTCTTCCTTCCAATCTCGATTATTTACAGACCCTTCTTTCCAATGCTTTTCTTTCCTTTTTTTTCCCCCCTTCTACTGCAGACCCCTATGCTACCCCTCATCTTTTTTTCTAAATCCCATCTTGGAACTCCCCACACTACAAGAAACGAATATTCATTACTAATTACATTCCCCATCTATATCCCTCCACAATTTTCTTTTTCGTTCTAACTAGGCCTATCAGAATGGCTTTCCTACCCTTGTTGTCATCTTAGCAAGTTCAGTTCACATACAGCCAGAAGAATAATGACATATCATAGGGGGAAAGGGTCAAAATAGGAGAGTAATTGAAAATGGGGTCATTGCCTGTGCATTCTAATGTACTTTTCAGTCTCCTCTGTAGATAAACAGAAGCTGCTAGGTAATCCAATCACCAACTCAAGTACCAGGAAAGAGCATTTAGGTTCACTTGCTGCTTACATCATTTCTCCTGAACTACGAAATTTTGGCTCATTAACCTTGTTCACTAAAGGAATTTGATTTCATTGGCTAGAAGAAATGAGGTAAACATAAAGGTCCATTCGCTGCTGGTTTACTTCGGCAGTTTTTATGTAAAACTAGATGATAAATGGAGATAATGGGAGTATAAAGTTGAAACTTAAATCGCGTTGATTTTAAGCCACTCTTTACTTTGTTCTCTATACAAAATCAAATGGGTCTGAAATAAATTACAAAGTAATGCCTAGAATAGGTAATGATTTTTATTCTATATAGCTATGAATAACTTATACGTAAAAGTACCAATCGAGGAAAAGCTTAGAAAATGGATAGCATCGATATGCTCCAGAATCTGCAGGACCAATTTCTTTAAAGGACTTCCCCTTCAAGATCCCGGATTTGGCCCATTTAAGTTTACTCCCAAGTATTTATCCAGCACACTCTTGAACGCCTGACGAAAAAATTAAAGTTAAATTACAATAACACAACAAGTAAAGTCTCAAAGCGTTGCAGCAGAATATTCTCTGGTCATGCTTATTTATTAGGGAGGGAATAAAAAGAAGTCCTAATGAATATGCAGGTTGGCTAGTTGTGTCTATTCTTTGGTGACAACAATAATGATGTTTTTAAAATAAATAAATGCGGAATGGAAATAAATATGCTTCCTTTCAAAACACAGAAACTGAAATGGCGTAATAAATTAAAAAATATATATAGACACAAGTAGAAAACTGCGGCCAGAGAGCATGCGCATTCGTTAAGATTCAAAATTATCAATAGATACCAAATTCACGGAAGGGAACAGATATTTAAGATATTTAAGGCTGTGAGAAGAAAAAACTCAGTTTAGGCACTTAATCAAACTGAAGTTTAAAAAATTAAATAAATTGCTTCTAGTCCTGAAACAGAAAAGTTAACAACCAAAAAAAAGAAAAGATTTGCAGTTCCTGGAAGCCAAACACAATAATTCATTAGGATCTTTGCAAGATCAACTTATGTAACAGTATCTAAATCAAATTTACCGCCAAAGTATGCGGTTTTGGTTGAGAAAATATGCTGCCCATTTTTCAAGGTTGCGTGAAAGCTACATAGAAGTGTCTAACTAATAAGCCAAATAAGATATTTCACAAGAACAAAAGCTGAGCACAAAAATGCAGAATGCTGTTTGCAATTTGAGGCCAGCCAAATTTTTGGAGGATGAGATAAAGATGTGAGAAGAGCTTTTGTTGTTAGCCCACAAAGATTGCCTTCGAGACCAATAACTAATACCATCTACTTGTGTGCTCAGTATTTTGTTCCGGGAAAAGAGAAAAAAAATATAGAAGGCAAATCCTACCTATGATTAAAAACAAATTGCACAGAGCTATTACTACGATAAACAGGGGAGATATCATGGTTGAAGTAAAATAAATAATAAATAATAAAAATGTTACTGTTAAATAGAGTTACAATGACCTGACGAGCAAAAGACTCTTTCCTGTTTAGAACTGCATCCATGGCAGCAAATTGATCATCAAATGAACTACAGAAAACCCCTTAGAGCCTTTTCCAGGATGAAGAGATATCAGCCAAAAGTAAAACATCTCCCACAGAATCCATAATCATACGATTTTTTTTNTTTTTTTTTTTTTTTTTTTTTTTTGTAAGAATATAATAAACTGATCCTCATCGGTGTTTCCTTGATCCATCTAATCAAATTTTCGAGTAAGAACTTCTTCTCCAACTGGAGAAAGCAAGTGCAGTATAAGAGCCTCTAGAGTTCTTGGGAAGTCATTCTAGATGGAAAAGAAAGTAGGATAAGATGACAAGCTAAGGAAGAAACAAAGAAGGGGAAAGCAAGAAAAAGAGGAACAATTTCACACATCTATCGACTAAAACTAAAAATAGTTTGACATCCATCGAATACATGGTTCCAAATTCCAAATAAAGGTAGCTATTTGATCGTTCTCCAAGCTCTGTAAACTAGTCATCTCCATCCTCTCCACCTCATGTGCAGAAACTTTTGTAGAACTTGATTGTAGGTGTTTAATTTGATCGGAAGCGCTTATGTTGTCATGAACTATAGGAATAAGCCCATGCAGAGCCTATGAGAAAAAGTTTCTTCCCCTAGCTCTTTTTCCCTCAAATCCCCACCCTCAAGTAATTGACTCAAACATTGAACTCCTTGATCTTGTGATTAATAACAAAGATCAATATACCAAATTGCCTCAACCACCAAATTTAAAATGCAACTTCTAAACCCCATTGATAAGATAAGGAATCACTATAAGGGGAGTAAAATTCAGATTACCTTGTTGATCGAATATCTCAAGGCAAGAATATTGTTTGAGATTCGAATCACTCCACAAGCAAGATCGATCATGTTTAGCTTGAATGATTCTTGTTGATCAAATATCTCAAACACTTGTTTGAGATTCGAATCACTCCACAAGCAAGATTGATCATGTCAAGCTTAAATGATTCTACATGCAACCTAAACTACATAGAATTGCAAATAAACTTAGTCATTGGCTAAAGAAAAGCACAAATGCTTCTTTTACTATATTAATGGCCATAATTAACCATTATGTAATTGTAACCTAAAATAAATAAAATGTCTTAAAATACAATAACTCTAAATTACTCTAAATTGTAACCCACCCAAAATTTATAACAATGAAACTTCATTCTTCTTCAATGTGGCATGAATTGAAACATCTTTTGATAATTTTGACAACTTTTTCTTCAAATCTTCATTGAAGTATATTGTATGATTGATGTCTTTTGGTTCATATCACCCATTCTCTCACTTATGAGCGAGTTCAAAATACTATTGAGAAATCTAGAGTGGGGAAGAGAACTTTAACCATCCTTCTGATACTTGGTACGACATGCTCGTGGCTCTTTGTTTCATTCGTGTCAGCAAGAGAACAAGGCACATGCAGAACTTCGTTCTGACCTTAATTTTAAAGATGTCAAACCCAACTCTAGCACAATAGCCTTAATGAAAAAAAAAAAAAAAAAAAAGCATAATGAAAATTTCATGGAGAAACAGAATATTCAAACTCAATCTATAAATTTTCATCATACAGTTAGTGATCATAGCTTACAAGCTTTCAAAACATAGGCCAGAATAACTTAAGCTTAAGCACAATACTCCACGAGAGTCCCAATATTATGACATTTATAACGTTCTAGTCATCCTACGTTTCTTTACAGCAATTTTCTCCTCGTACTTCTTAAAAAATGTAACGGTTAAATGTTTTACATCAACAAATTCATTACAAATCTTATTTGGAGTTACCTATGCATTGACAAATGCCAACTATATACCTATTCCTATGGCTGAACTACAGAGGAATCTTTGACAAGGTACTTATTGATTACGTCCTTTTAATTACAAGGATTAAATTGTAAAAAAAAAAAAATATATATCAAAACAAGTTAGAAATCCTAAATTAGCTTGGAAAAATAATCGGCAGCTTAACGAAACACCAAGGAGCTAGCTTACAGCGGGAATGTTGAAATACAACCTGTAGATTGTCGAGGCCGCAATTGTACGGATTCCACTCCGATAAATATCATCAGTCCATAACGCCTCCTACAAGAACCTTCGGAGCCATAGAACATAAGAAACGGAAGCTCAAAAATCAGAGGAACTTTCACACATATTACAGCGGGAACGTCGCGAGACTCGATGAGAAACTCAAAGTCTGAGACTTAAAAGCGTTGGATTTTCAGATTTTCGTCCATCGATCGGGAGTTCGTGTAGAGTTGAAGCTCGAGTGTAAGTAACTAAGAGGCAATGGGAACCATCTGCTATCATTTCTAACTTATCCTGACTTTCATCATGCAACATTTATCATTAAACATTAAAATAAGTAAATAAATCTCTATCAATTTTATCATTAGTTAATATATTTAGATTTAAGGCGGAGAGACAAATTATATAAATCGAGTCATACAGACGTTGGGCCCAAAAACCACGAGGCCCACGAGGGTTGCAGCTGTCCCTATTGGCCCAACTTATGATGTGGCCTATGGGCCCACGAGGGTTGGATCAGCCCCCAATGTGGTTATTGACGTTTTGTGATTATATTATTCCTACTTATCCTAAATTAAATTTTGTAGGTACTTTGCCATTTCAAAATTGTATTTAATGATTATTTCATGCAATAAAAAATAATTTTATTTATCCTATAAACAATATTTTTGCCGTACATTCCCTTTATATTATTTTTCTTTTTGATTATAATAAATAAAATATAACGACTTCAACCTCTCATATGTGGATTTGACATATGATGGTCTCGACATTTCTCTGCGACATGGTCACGTTACTTACTTTTTGTTTCTTAAAAGTGAAGACCATCCACACAAACTAATACGAGTCATTCTAGAATGTCAAGGCCATTATGTTGCATGCATTACAACACGAGCACGTTACTTACTCTTAGCTCCTTAAGAGTGAATAGTATTCTCACCTACTAACCCAAGTTATTCTAACATATTTTAGTCTCATTCACGTGCATCTTATAAAAATTTATAGGAGGTCATTCAGTATATAATTGCTCAAAATAAAACACGTTTAACCATAAAATTTCTATAATCAAACTACTAAAAAATGAGGTACATCGCCTTTTTACAGTCACCTTATCATTGGGCTCACTCTCGTTTAGATTTAATATCGATTTATTCATGCATCTCTCGTTTACTCGGGTATCACATTATCATTGAGTTATATGCTCACGTTCACATTACTTGACTTTTTGTTGAGGTACTCGAGAAAGCTTTTTGTTAACATTATATTCCATGAAATAAAATAATCTCACATTAAATGTTTAGTGAGTAGCATAATAAGATATTGTAGCATTAAATGTTCAGCAAATTTACTGTAATCTTGACATTTGGTAGTACTATAATTAGGTTCATTAATTTCATCAATTAATCAATTTTGACAATATTTTAAGTTAATTTTAAATGAGTTTTATTTAAATAATGGCTAAATAAACATGAAATTTAAAATCCAAATGTTGAATTTATAGTAGAAAATGGATGAAATTTGAAATTAAATTAATTACATTAATCAATAATATATACGAATGGAATCTTATCTCTAAGTTGGGGTTAAAAATTTAAGCATTTTTTAAACCACAAAAACTTAATTATTAAAATGAAAATAAATAAATAAAGTGGAAATTGGATAAAATCACGCCTCTTCCCTCACCCGCATCGTGGTGCTGTAATCAAATTTGGTTGGGACCCACTCTCACGCGCTTCTTTTCTCGTTCTTCACACTGTGGGACCCTCACCCAAATATCTTTTCAGTTTTCCTTTCCTTTTCTCTCTCTCCATAAATAAATTATTTTCTTCCACGTGCCATCCCCAAAATAAATACTTATTTTTATTTTTGAGGTTGTTCCAATTTTAATGTCCGATTTATCCTACTAAAAAATAATTATAAAAATATAAAATTAGTTATTGCGTAGGCCGACAATATTTAAATAATTATCAAAATATAAAATTACTCTGAAAATAAAACATTTTAAAGTCCGACTCTGACATTGTTTTGCTTTTTTTTTTTGTGACACAGTCATGTTATCTATAAGTTCTTGGTATATGTTTTATCCTTAAAAAATTTTGTTCAACTATGAAAAATCTCTTTTAAATATTTTCCCACAAACCAAGACGAATTTTTAAATATTTTCTATTTCATTTTTAGGATATAGTATTGGGCCATTATGTTGGATTAACACGACTCTCCACAATGATATAGTATTGACCACTTTAAGCATAAGCTCTCATGGCTGACTCTCCACAATGGTATGATATTGTACACTTTGAGCATAAGCTCTCATGACTTTGCTCTGTATTTCTCCAAAATGTCTCATACTAATGGAGAGAGTATTTTTTAATAATAAACCTACGATTATTCCCTACATTATAAACCCATGATCATACCCTAAATTAAGCGGATGTGAGACTTTCATCGTCCAACACATCCATGTACCAAATCATCTTTCCACACAAAATATATATAGGCATTTTTAGAAAATTATTTGGTTGGTAGAGAATAATTAAAATATATTAGAATGTGCAGATGCATCTTTAATAACTTTATTTGTTGAATAATTTCATTTATATATTTATAAGCTAGGTTCATTTAATCTGTAATTACTCTATTAATCTATATATTTAAGAAAGCCTATTAAATCTTAGCCACATTTATTATATAACAAAATTTATAAATTAAGCCGTCAAAGATTCAATACTTATCTTTATTTAAAATTTTATAAAGTTTTAAAATTAAAAAATTCAATAAAATTAAAAGATTGTAAATAAAAATAGATATAAAAAAAATGCTCTTTTAAGCCACCACAAATTTTATATTATACATAAAAGAGCAGGTATATCTTACACGTTGCTTTTCATATTTCATTATTTAAAGCATAAAATGTAGTAAGTAGAAATACTTTTTAATTAGGAAAAGCACTGTATTGTGAGCTAATTAATCTTTAAATTATTAATAATAATAATAATAATAATAATAATAATAACTCTAGTTTACACGTTGTAAGAGGAGAGTAATTATCATGTTTGATTTATCTAAAATTACTTTTTAGAACAGGAAAAAATTATATAAAATTGTTTTGCTTCGGGTCAAAACTTCCATTGAATCTCTTACTTTCTGTCTGCCTAATCTATTACTACCCCGGTAAGCTACTAATTAAAGCAGGTATGAAAGACTCAATCTATAGGCTCTGAGAGCTCCTCTCTACCATATCCCCTTTCTTCCTCTGTAGGCAGAGACTGAGTAAGTTACTTATGGAAGACTTTCATTTCATTAGCTACTTTAGAAGCAAGAGTTAATATCTCTTCTCCGCCGAAAGATCATTTGATTGGTTTAAACTCCTCTTTGCTTGAATAAAGTCAAAAGCAAAAGTCAAGAAAGCATTTTAACTCCTTTCACGCCTTTACTGTACAGATCAGCTAGGAAATCTAAGTATGAAATGTTACTTTTAAAGGACAGGGCTTCCAGCTATAGAAGTTCTAGTCAGGTATGTCCCTGTTCTCTTCCCTCTTCCCATTGACTATTCATCTCTTGGTGAAGCCCTTCCTTAGGAAGAAAAACTGTAGAATACAACTAGTCAACAAACAAGGCTAGCTGGAAGCGGTTTAAAAAGAAGACATTTATAAGACTACTCTTCTGACTGACTTACTTCTAATTCGAAGGTCAAATCAATCACACCAATACCGAAGG